CCAAAAACTACCAATCTCCTTCCACTTTTGAAAAAGATCATCTTTAAAAATCAGGACGGCATCATGACTTTTTTCATTCTGCACAAGAGAACTAGACTTCTGGGAAACAATGGTTATTTATATCCATTTTATATATAACAACCATACAACGTATGCCTTGAACACACACTTATACCTTCAGAATCTAGGATGTCTGACAGTCTTAATGGAGGACTGATAAATATTTTATGTTCAATAAAGTTTCACGGTGCGCCTATTGTTTTATTTCTCCATTTCATTCTTTAAAAACTCCCTCACTTTTCCATATCCTTTAGTTCTGAGATTCTTGGGGATACTCCACTGGCATCTCTGCTTCAGTTTATGTAAATACTTAATTTTCCCCATTCAGAAATCTGTGTTTTTGATTAATGCCTTAAATTTGTGATGATGGACGTCTTTAAAGCCACTTGATAAGATAGAGAGTACTTGTTCTACTTATTAATTAGTGCGTCATTAAGAGTGATACATAGTCCAGAGGTTAGTCAAGAGCTTGTTGTGTTTTTTTTTAATGAAATATGCATAAGTGCAGTTCACCATCAATCCCTTTTTTTCCTTTTTCATTTCTTTCACTCGTTTTTTGGTCAGAACAGTGAGCTTTCCCCCCTCCCCGTCTGTTTCTGCTCCACACAGACTCGTATCGCTAAGCGAGGCAGGAAGCTGGTAGACTTTGACAGCGCCAGGCACCATTTTGCCTCTCTGCAGCACGCCAAAAAGAAGGATGAGGTGAAGATCGCCAAGGTAAGGCATAATCTGGGCTGCGGTCTCGTCCGCCTTTGATTTGAAAACCGGATTTGTCTCGTTTTCTTTTTTTTTCTGCTGCCGCAGTAGGATTGCTATTATTAAAATGGTGGAAAGAGGTTAATTATTACCACTGGTTATAATAGTCCTTATTTCTCTGTGGCCATGACATCATTTCCTTCACACTTATGACGTGACTCATGTCAGTACTGTGGAGCGCCTACATCACTGGTCAGCTTTGCTCTGCTTGTACCATTCCGTAAGGATAAAACAAAAAAATGTCTCTTAAACGTTTATTCTGAGCAATACTTTTTCTTTTCAGAGCTGTCAGTTAACATTTTTTTATATCCGTCCAGCTTCATGAACTGACAGTTAACAGGGCTCTTCACCACAAATCTACAAGTCTTTCAAAATGTACACTTGCCAGAGCCCTCTGCTCTTGGTCATGCTGCGAGTCCCACAATCTGTACAGGAGTGTTAACATAAGTGGTGTTGCTGTACTCACTGACACCACTTCAGTAGCAAGAGTGGTAACAAGCTAATGAATCCCAGGTTGTCACAAGACAATCCCCAGGCCAAGCTCCATCCTTTGTGCAGCACTGCTTGGGTGAATTCCTTACACTTATATAGCGTCTTTCTGGACACTCCATTTAAAGCGCTTTACAGGTAATGGGGACTCCCCTCCACCGCCACTAATGTGCAGCCCCCACCTGGATGATGCGACAGCAGTCATAGTGCACCAGTACGCTCCCCACACATCAGCTATCAGTGGGGAGGAGAGCAGAGTGATGAAGCCAGTTCATAGATGGGGATTATTAGGAAGATTATTAGGGCCAATGGGAAACACTCCTACTCTTTTCGAGAAATTCCCTGGGATTTTTAATGACCACAGAGAGTCAGGACTTCGGGTTTTTACGTCTCAACCGAAGGACGGCGCCTGTTTACAGTGTAGTGTCCGCGTCACCATACCGGGGCATTAGGACCCACATGGACCGCAGGGTGAGCGCCCCCTGCTGGCCCCACTAGCACCTCTTTGTGCAGCAACCTTGGTTTTTCCCAGGAGGTCTCCCATCCAGGTACTGACCAGGCTCACACCTGCTGGGCTTCAGTGGGCTGCCAGTTGTGAGCTGCAGGGTGACATGGCTGTGGGCGACATTGATGAAAACTGAATGGCTACAACCATCAGAAGTCAAACAAATGTTTCCTAAGACTTTTAAGCAGTGCGTCCCTTGATTTACTAACCCTTGGCAGAAAAAGCATGCACACTGATACATGTACTTGTTTTTCACAGATATGAAGAGAGTTTTGCTACAGTGAAGGCGTGTCCTTCATAGCCAAAAAGAAGATGCCATTCTCATAATATGAACTCCCACTGCTAATCCTAAAACACAGTTCCTCACTGCATCTGCATTCTGTCGGTTTTTTTGTCTTGTCAATGTTTCATGCTAATTATCGTACTTGGGGAAAATCGTATAATTGTCTAAAACAAGTAATGGGGTTCTTACCTTGACAATACAGTACTCCTTTAGGGTAAAGATAAGTAACATTAGTTGTCACAGACCTCACAAATTAGTTGGCAGCTTTGAAATGTGAAGGATGTTTTCACATTTTGAGGAACGAATGCTGTTTGTAAATGGAGCTATGAGTGTAGTTTGTATTAAAAATGACTTCTTATTACTGCTGCTAATATGTTCCTTTTCAGTTTTCAGTCTATCCAGCTACAGCTGGTTTTATAAACATTGATTTTAGACTAAATAAATCCCCTTAGAACTATTTTCTCAATGCAAATTCAAATGTAGTTTTATTATATCACTAATAAATTCCAGGTTATTTCTACTGGATTAAAACCCCTTCTTTAGATGGTAGAATGAAGATATAAGGTATAATTGTAGGTATGCAAGATTGATTTGAATGTTAAAGTTCAGATTTCAGCCATAAAACGAATTAAAAAATCCCTGAAAGTGTTAGTTATTTTTATTCTGTGGACTTTTTAAGCCTTTATATTCTATGATTATGACCGGAAAAACATCCGGTATTTTATGGTTCTAAATTTGATCTAATGAAATACTGTAGTTCTGTAAGACAAGGGAGAAATGTTGTGTTTTTGCTACATTACAGTACCAACCAAGTACAGTAATTCACCCTGACTGAGGTCACTGTGATTTATAGCTTTACCAATCAGGGAAATGCATGTAATATTCACAACTGCTGATAGATCAATCTTGTCCGTTATTGCAGGTCCTGCAAAATAAATTAAATTGCGTTAAATTTCATTCTAAAGGAAGAAAAATACTTGAAAATCCAGCTGAAATGTAATTTAATTTGTTTTGCAACTTTATCCTGATACAATTTCTGCTGATCCTACCTATCCTGATCACTTCAGAAGGAGTGATAGACCTTTTACTACTTTCAGATCTGAATACAGGGCACCCATAGAAGATGTGTCCATTATTGCCAAAACACACTATTATGTGAGAAGAAAATAAATACAATAATATACACTTTCTGGATCATTAAACCTATTTTGTAACTATTGTAATCAACACAGACAATTCAGATCCTTCCTGTTGTTTTTGTATCATAAATATACAAGCTCTATATTTAATGTGCCATAAATATACTGTATGTAGAGCAAACAAATACAAACAAAACCTTGCGCACGCAATTCACCTAGCCCTTCGCAACTTGCCTGATACTTTGCAGGGAATAATGCAATAATGGACAAAGACATATTGTCTGTTTCTGATTTTACAGTCAATATGCCTTTTTAGCAGACATTGTCTGTTAAATCTGACGTCTGTTAAAGTACGTTAAACCAAGGGCTTACGGTATCCACAATTTCCTTTGACACAAATGACGCATGTGCGTGCTATTAATGCTTGTTAAAAGAATTCAGGCAACAAACGATTGAAAAAGTCTTAGTCTGAGTCAGCCTGACACAGAGGATAATGTTAATTAACCTTGCATCAGGATGAACTTTGTTATAATAACAATTAACAACTATTTGTTAAAGGGCATTCTGAGTCACTGCTTGCTTCTTGTAGATTTGACTATTTTTACATTGCCTTTGATCCCCAGGCTGGGAAATACTCTCTTTTCCTGTCTCTCCTCAGGATGAGTCTCAGTTCTATATTTCTAAGTACTGGCACCTTGACCAAGATTACCCTGAAATACAGAAATTCACATGTATTTACAAGTTCTAAATATTCTAGTAAAAGTTTTAAAAAAAAGAAAAAAAATGTATTTGAGCGGCAAGGTTTATGATCTGTACGGCCCTCAAAATAAATATTGCTAAATATTTTATTTGAAATTCTGCAGAAATGTTGAAACTTCATTAAACCCTAAGATATCATTTCAGTGCTTTACAGGTGCTTTTCTAGTATTACAGGTTGTGAACTGAGACTCAGCCCTGGGATCTGAGTGGATTTCATAACCCTGCGCTGTTTCTTGTTTGTTTGTCTGGTAACTCTGTCCGCGCATCTGTTTTCTGTTTTGCACCACCAGCCAGTCTCGCTGCTTGAGAAGGCTGCCCCCCAGTGGGCCCAGGGGAAACTGCAAGCACATCTTGTTGCTCAAACTAATCTACTGAGGAACCAGGTGACTTATAACTACTGCTTTCACCCCTCACCTGCATGTTGCAAGCTCTGTGAAATACTAATAGATGTCATGATACTGTGTTTCTGTCGTGTATGTTCTTGAAATTTTAATGAAAACATTGAGAGAAGCACACAGCCCTTCCCGAACAGGTTTTGGTTACTGGAGATGAAAGAACATATCGTTCTAGCTTGAATGCTGTTTGTAACATCTTGTCCAGGTAGTGGACAAAACAAATGGAAACACCAGAGTTTAAAGTCATTTAATAGAGAGAAGTAGTGTCTACCAGCATCAGGAATTCATCCAAATGGATGTGGCACCACTGTTCCATGATCAAGTCAGTCAACATGGTGATGGAGGTGGAGAAAGCTGTCTCAGGTGTCGTTCCAGAGTATCCCATAAATGGTCATTGGGTTCAGACCTGGTGACCAAGAAGACCATGAAATATACAGTAGGTAATGTCAGTGTCATGGTTTTCAGACCAAGCTCTGTAGATGGGGAATCCTGGAAGACACCCCTACTGGCTGGAATGAAGGAATGATTCTGCATCATGGGATGAAGATAGTCACTCGGTGCTATTAAAATAGCAATCCTTATAGTCCTTGGCTTCTAAGGGAATATGTGCAACCAAACCAAGCCAGGAAAATGCTTCCCCACAACATCTCAGAATTGCCAGAACCCCTCATTCTGGTAATAAGGCACCCAGGGCTGTGAAATTTTTTAGGTTGATGTCCCACCTGCACTTGTCCATTTGTCAAGAATATGGTGAAGGGTGCTTCATCTGACCAGATGCTATTGCCCCCACTGCTTGGTAGTAGTGTTTTTTGCACCCCTAGGCTCCCCAACCGCAGCCCGAATATCCCCAGGATTTCACTCTGTGGAGTTCTCAGCTGGCCGTTTTTGGTGAACGTGGCTGCTCTTGCCCCAGATTTGCAATTTGCAATCAATTGATCTGCAGCTGCTCTCCTGCTTGCCTTCGCATTAACGCGTGGCCGTCACGAGTGTTCACCATTTCCCGGAGTGTTCACCATTTCCCTTTGCTCTCACGGCGTCTTTAGCTCAGAGCTCTAAGCTCGTATAGCTGCCCGTGAAACATCTGCAAGTCTAGGTGTTTTGGGCACTAAAGCTCTTGCCAGACTCTGTCTAATGGTCATCTTTCATTCACAGACTCCTCTTGCAATGCAAACCATGCGAACCATAAATATAGGCAAGCAGGCATGTCCAGCATTTTTACCCATGACTCTAAGCCTGCTGGGGTGTTATTTGCTTGATTAATGGTAATCAATCAGACAAATGTTAATTGCTTGATTAATGGACGTCTGTAGAGTTGATCCACAACTGCTTTCAGTATAGTTGGTGTCTCATTTACCCAGGTGTCCATTTTTTTCCACTCCCTGTATTTCTATAGCTATTGGCAGTTGACTGCTAAATTAGCATATCAGATTAGGTTCACTTAAGGGCTACTGCTGAATGTGTTCTAATTGTGGCCGGTGGTTTTAATACAACACAGCTTTGAGAATAATCTTCCCAAACATAAACAAGGGGTGAATTCATCATTCATCCCTGACACAGTACAGTTTGAATGTTTATTAAAAATCATTGTGACTGCATTTTGGTTTACGTTTTGCCAAATTCTAAACAGAAATTGAAAATAACTGGCATAATGCCGTAACTTGGATCAGTTCATATTTTGAATATACTGCCTGGAGCATGTAACTTCTTAAATATGTTCATATGCATAATAAGTACGTATGAACGTAGTTCCATCCTGTATGGGTTTTTGGAAAGAAGCCTGCATCCCGTTAAATGTTATATTGACAGGAATGACAAAGTGTGGTTTACAACATTTCAATAGTGAAAGTTAAAATCAATGGCAGACAGAATGTTCCATTAGTTATCATGAAACGTGTGAATACTGGATACTGAGTCATCAGTTAATGGCTCACACTTGAGCCATTAATCTCGAGTGTGAGCCGTTAACGGATGACACAGTCATCTATCTCAATCACCTTGGGCTTCCTGAAATCAGTGCAAGGATTATGTTTGTGAATTCCAGTTCCGCGTTTAATACCATTATTCCAGAGAAACCGTTTTGATCAGACGAAACCTCTTGCTGTTGATTCATGTTTGTATCTTTGTATGCTTGGTTTTCTTTTGGGTTGCCCCCAAATATTAAAATTAGCTAGAATTGATCAAAATCAGTTTTACTGAAAAGGAGTGCTCCAGAGACATACAGTATTGACATACTGTATTATTGTTTCTACACATGATTCAATATCGAGTCAATATCAATTTAAAAAAATGCTAATGGTATCCCTATTGTGGAATTGGTTAATAATACAATTAAATTTGAAAACTGT